CAAGTCCACAATATTAGTGGGAGCTGCTTTCCACTAATTATTGAAATCATGGTGATTTATTTTCCTTTGCACCAAACCTCCAGGGGTACCTCCCAGCCCTGCTGAGTTTACAGCTTTGAAAGAAAGCTAATTTTTATTCCAATAGACACAAATGAAATGTTTAACACTCTGTTTCTATGTTAAGTCCGGATCAGTTTCGTTCTGACAAAAGCCTTGCTAACATTTCTGGCATGGGCTCAACAAACTGCCCTGTGCCTGCTCAGAGACTCTTTCTTTGCTGGCCTAGTATGCTGGATATACATTGGAGAATAGGGAATGATCTGTTGTTTTGAAAGAGAGAAGGGAGAAACCAAGCTCCTGACAGGTACCCTTGTTGGAGAACTGCATCAAATGACAGCTGTGTAGCCCTGCAATTCAAACCCTGTGACTAAGTGTATACAGTATCCTTGTTATTTTATGTCATGTATGTCCGGCATGTGCAGCTTTGTCTGCAGTATAGGAATGGAGGGATAATCTCCTGGAGTTTCATTTGTGAAACCTGCCAGCCACCTAGATCCCAAAGGAAATTACCACTGTGTATCTATGATGCTGTGGGTTTAATAGCAGTCTTCCTGTGAACACCCATGCATCATCTTAGCCAAGAACTCTTATAGTCACTGGTTGAAGATACCTTAGATGGGCTTATCTGGGAACATGAATACATGTGTCTGGAGGAGATGTAATGACTAAACCTTTAAGATATCAGCATTTGTTTCATCACGAAAGGTCACTTGAGCATCCACTGCCCCAGCTGACCCATGGAACAGAGCTGCACCAGTGAGTCACACAATCACAATTCTCCCCCCTGCACACCTACACTAGGACCACAGAGCAAGTCCATGATGGGTAAGGGAAGCAGCTTCCTGCTAATTATTGAAATCATGGTGATTTATTTCCCTTTGCACCAAAGCTCCAGGGGTCTTTCCCAGCCCAGCTGAGTTTCGAAGCTGGTGCAAGAAAGCTCAGACCAAGAGCAGCCCTTGGAACCTTCTCCTACAGAACCTGAAGGGCAAGTGTTGAAATGTGTCCCAGTGGGAGTTTGGGAAGGCAGGGGCTGTGCCAGAGGGAGCTCTGCTCCTGTGAGAGGGGCTGGCTCCTGTGTGTGTGGGACCACATAGTTAGCCCATGACATAGCTGGGCAGTTGCTTCCCTCTAATCATTGAAATCATGGTGATTTATTTCCCTTTGCACCAAAGCTCCAGGGATCTCTCCCAGCCCAACTGAGTTTTGAAGCTGGTGCAAGAAAGTGCAGCGCAAGAGCAGCTCTTGGAAACTTCTCCTAGAAGTCCTGAAGAGCAAGTGTTGAAATGTGTCCCACACCGCTTGGAGCCTGGGGTGGGACTTAGGGAAGGCAGAGGCTGTGCCAGCAGGAGCTCTGCCTCTGTGCTCTGTGAGAGGGGCTGGCTCCTCCTCTGCTATTTCCGAGACTCTTCTCAAGCATGCATGATGTATGTGTGTGAAAACTAGAGGAGGACTCTCCAGCATGATAGGGCAGCTGCTGGGAATATTGATACTGCTGCCTCCTGCTGCCTGTGGAATGCTGAAACCAAAATGCCCACGGAATGTGAGGAGTGATTATTGGACCAGGTCAATTAACTATTACAGGCATGGGGACTACCTGCTTGCTGGAATTACATCTGCAACAAATAGTATATTTGATCCATATGTTTTCTACATGGCCCCTTCAAACAGTTTTACTTGGTAAGTGAAGGTGCCTGATCCTGAATTCACACCTTCCAAGTGTGCCTTGCTAGCAGGAAGAGTGAGTCATCTTTTTCTGGGTTCCACTCCTGGTCAGTTCTGTTCCTACCATCCCTCATCCTGCTCCAGGTTCTTTCTGAACCCCTCATAGCATCAGCACCCAACATGCCAAAGCAGCAGTGGTGCAGTTGGGGTCCTGTGTAAGCATTTGGGGCCCTGGAGGCAAGGGGTATCTCAGAAAACTGCTCAAAGAACAGAAGATGCTGAGAATGCTGAAACTAAAACTGAAACAAGTATATTTTAATTCATGCCAAGTAGATATGTTAAATATAATATCCTAAACTCATTGGGATGTTTGGTCAGAGTAGGCAGCACAGAATATATGTAAAAGCAGCTAATACTAAATAATACTTGTGTCTCCTTCCCACTTCACGTCAGTATGATTCATAGGAGATATTTCTCAAATTCCCCCCAAGCCATTATTTCATGTGATGAACCTTTCCCTGCAGCCATTGTTGAAGGAAGAAAAATGTTATGGCGTACAAGACCAGTTGTAGTGTTTTCCTTGAATGACCTCTTTGTGGCAGAGAAATGTCATCTACCCATCAAACAGAATAATCAATGGTGTGGCTGAACTGAATGTTTACAATCCTATTATGAAATATTTTGTTAAATGGGACAGGATGGAGACATTCACAGTCTAAGAGATGTACAGGATGATTAGGGGGCCAAAGGCCCTGTCCACTCTCTGGATAATCTCAGTGGGGGGATTGGGCAGCATGAACACCAACAGAAGTTGTTTCTCTTCTATGAAAGTTCATGCAATAATATCAGATGTTGAGTTTCAGGAGTCTTATAAAACTCTGTGCTGCTCAATCTTCTCTTCAAATGTGGGCATTGGAGAACAGTGTTTCAAAGTGACATCACAATCATGGCAATGTATTTCAGCAAGCTTTGAGGTACCTCTTGGCAGGCTGGTTACCCCGTCATCCCTCAAATGTGTGCACTATTTTAGCTCCATTTCAATAGCCACTCACCACCTGAAGTTGTCCCTGGAGGAAATACAAGGATCCGCAGTGTACCACAGATTTGGGGGGGCTTGCATGGTAGCAGTCTGCAGTCTACTAAAGAAAGGAAGCATTCTCATTACTTTACCATAACAGCTATTTTGAAAACATTTGCAGGTGGACATTTCTCTTGCAGCATAAGTGAATGTGGTCTATGGAGCAGGTGGGAAAGCACCTTCACTATTACTGGGACATAGCCATAGGCCTATGTGAAGGGCAAGTTGCATAAATGACACTGTGCAAGTATCAATCAGAAAGTGGGGTTCAAAAATGTTCAGTGGCTTATACAGAGAAAATTGCTGAAAAATTAATCTGAAACTTGGCCACATATGACAGGTCAGGTTGAGAATGATCCACATCCACTTGAATGCAGAAATAAAAAAATGCTCATTGATACGACTTTTAATTTGAGTAAGTCATTTTGAAAGATATTGTCTTGGAAATCATACAATCCCTCCAGTCTTATAAGGGATTCACTTTGCAGTAACATTTCAATCATTTGGAAAACAGTTTGCTACTTTAACTAGGGAAGAAGAACAGAACAATCATAGAATCATAGAATAGTAGAGTAGGAAGGGGCCATGAGGGCCATTGGGTCCAGCCCTCTGCTGGTGTAGGACACCATCCCTCACACATGGCTGTCCAGTTCCTTCTTGATTGTCCCTAGTGTGGGAGAGCCCACCACCCCTCTAGGCAGCTGGTTCCACTGCCATATTGCTCTGACAGTGAGGAAGCGTCTCCTGATGTCCAGCCTGAATCTGGGTTGTCGCAACTTGAATTGATTATTCCATGTCCTACACTCTGGTATCAGCAAGAAGAGACCTTGACCTTCCTCTTTGTGGCAACCCTTGAGGTACTTCTAGAGCGATATCATGTCCCCCCCTCAGTCTTCCCTTCTCAAGGCTGAGCATGCCCAGTTCTCTCAGTCTCACCTCACAGGGCAGTGTTTCCAAACCGTGGATCATTTTTGTTGGCCTCCTCTGGACCCATTCTAGTTGCTGCACCCTGGCAAAAGTATATCACATCTGAAGGATCTGGAAAAAAATGCTTGCCAGCCTAGTTTTAGCCCATGAAGGAAGCAAATATGAAAGGCATAAGCAGGGAAGGAGAGAGAAGGGTGTAGAAGAGGAGAGGAGTCCGGTTGGATCAGGCCAGGGGCTCATCTGGTCCAGTACTGTGTGGGAAATGACAAGAAAGATGTGTGTCATGCATGCATGCAATGATACCATCCATATCTCGTTTCCCAGCAACAGGTTTGCACTGTCATCCATCCTGTGGAACTGGAAGTAACATGCGTCCACCGGGGTTTCAGAGCCACTGTTGGCTTCATCCTCCATGAATTCATCTAATCCCCTACAAAGTTATCCAAATGGTGGACATCACTAATCTTGTGGTAGCCAGTCTGTAGTTGCATATGCATGGTGTGAGGAAGTATTTTATGTATCCTGATCCAGTCAAGCATCACATTCATGGAAACACCATCAACTTTATGAGATTTCTGGAATTATGAGACGGGGTGAGAAAGAAAGGGGATTGGGGGAATGAGAGAGGTCTTCCTCCACACTTTCTCCATCTGTCCCCTATAGTCACATAATTTTGGAGCTGAGCAGTCCCTGGAGGAAGTAAGCACTTACTGAGGAATGAATCCAGTGCAGCAGTGGAGACTTTTCCCTGGCGAGTACATTCAGGATTGAAATCGTGGCTCTTTCAAAATCCCACTCAGAGAACTTCAGCATTGCTGGTCTTGTTAGAAAGGAACTTTGTGATGGCAGCACCTTGTCACAGCCACATCTCCCTTAAACACTTCTGCTGATATGGGGATCAGCTCTGATATTTTATGCTCCCACTTTGAAGGCATGAGAGCAAGAGAACCACTGCACTGTGGAAGTCGGAGGGTTTGAGACTCCAGTGCTAATCTGCACATGGCCATCAGATTAGCTGAGTGATCTTGAGCCAAACACTGGCCTACCTCAAAGAGTTGGAAAGGGGTATTTGCCTCCTTCTTTCCCTGCCATGGCCCTGAAGAAGTTGTTCCCTGAGCCCTGTTGTGTATATTGAAAGGAAAACTCTCCCAAGCTGATCTGCAGTGTGGTTTCATGAGATTTGTATTTTAATGAATATTGCAGGAATTTGAGGATTTCATGGAATAGAGAATGTCAATCTGATTACTTCTCTTCTTGCAGGTTAGCAGGTATGAGTTCTTGCTATCTCCTGCCCTTCTTCTTTGCCATTCGGGAGGTCAACCAGAATCCGAGGCTCTTGTCCAACATCACCCTGGGCTACACCATCTATGAGAACTTTTTCAGTGCAAGAATGACATACGAGGCCCTGGTAGACCTGCTGTCTGTTGGGCAGCAGCATGTTCCAGGCTACAGCTGTGGAGGAGGGACTACTGTGCTGGCTGTCCTTGAGGGGGCCGACTCTGAACTATCCAAGCAGGTTTCAACCATGCTTGGCCTCTACAAAGTCCCACAGGTACAAATGGAGGTGTTTGTGTGTGTAGATTCCTTGCTTGCACTTTGCAATTGTTGCAGTGAAGTCCAGAAGGCAACCCTTCTGTGATTGGGTGTGGCTGGAGGAAGGGAGGGCCAGTCTCAGAAGAGCAGAGTGTGGCTTCAAAGATGTCTCAAGCTCCTTCATGAAAACAGTCTCTTCCATCAGTTGCTCATTTCGAGTTTGGTGATTTTTGGAATGATGCTGTAAGCAAGTGCAGTAAGTTTTCTGTTGTTGGTTCTGCTTGGGATCACCTGACACAATGAACTATGTAGCTTCAAGGCCAGAGTGGCTTATTGCATCCTCTGAATCCAGCCCATCTCTACTTCAGGAGGCCAGGACTTATTCCAGGGTTTCCTCAACTGTCCTTGATGGCAGGAGAGCAGGGTCACTCAGGAGCAGTCCTGCTCTCCCGGCATCAGCAGGAACCCAGTGGGGAGCTGTGATGTGAGGGCGAAAGAGCTGCACCACAACTGGCCAGTTGGCTTCCTCTTCAGGTGGCTGAGTGCGATATCTCTTGTCCCCACCATGGTACGGGTGGCACTCAGGTGGGCCGGGGCCACTTCAGCCAAGGGCCACCAACTACACTTTCCTCCACAGCTGCCTAAAGTGCTGTGTCAACTGAGGCTGGGAGGACTGTGGGTGAAGGGGCAGGTGGAGACCCAGTTGGACACCTCCCTTCCCACTGACCATAGCCACACTTGTGTGCAAGTGATGAGTGCAGCCCTCATGAACTACTTTCCCTCTCCATTTGCAGTCTTTCGAATGGGCACGACATCAACTTGTTGCAGTGAGATCTCCATACTGCACGTTAGATTAATTATGGCACAAGATTTTTATGAATCAGAGGGTCCACTTTTCTTTGGGAGAAGAAATTACAGCATGATAAATACTTAAGCAGAGAAGCCCAGAAAATACACTGAATGGCACCCTGAAATGCAAAGAATTCTTAAGAACAGCACAGCTTACATTTCGAATGATGCAGTCCTCCTGAGGATTGTCCTGAGAGTCCTGCCCTGCTCTGTGCACGCAGAGCAGTCACACTTCCTTCTGAGTAGGAATGCAGAAAATGCATCTTTGCAATGCTATTTTAACGTACTGCAGAATGCTTAACTCCTGCTTCCTTTGGAGAAGACATGCAAAATCCTAGTCTTACTTCTGAATAGGCTTGAAACTGATTCAAATCACATTTTGGCTCTGCTCACTCTGTTCTGGGCCTTAACTGCAGCTGAACTGCAGCTTCAGACTTTGGTTGGAATTCAGCCCTTGGATTAAAGATGCATCTCCATCTCTGAGATAGGTCAGAACCAGGATCTTGGATAGATTCCAGCATGAATCTGGCACTGGAAAATGTTACCTTAGCATACCTCAGATGAGTTATATTCAAAATGTCTTTTACATCATTGTCTGGAAGGTCTTATCTTGTGTGCATTATCAGTTCCAGTATACTCCTTCCTTACTTTAGAATGGAAAACAAAACACCAAACTCTTTTGCTCTTTCCTAGGTCAGCTACGGTTTTGTTAGCCATGTTCCTAAAGCTAATCATCAGTTCCCTTTTCTTTACCGGCTGGTCCCAAAATCAGAGCCCCCTTACCTGGGAATCGTCAAACTGCTCCTGCATTTCAGGTGGACATGGATCGGTCTCATAGCTCCAGACAATGACAGTGGAGAAAGATTCGTGAGCACCTTCACACACTTGCTCAGGAACAAAGGCGTTTGCATAGCATATTCACAGACTATCCCGGTGATAGTGAATGTAGGAAGGCATGTGAATATAATTTCAGATTTGAAGGACACCCAGTTCAGTGCATTTGTTTGTCAAGTGGACTCCAATACCATCCTAACTCTAGCACTAATGATGCAACACATTGAAATGGTCAAAAAATCAACTATGGGGAAAGTCTGTATTTTTACAGCTTTGCAGGACCTCAGTGTCAGATTGCTTTACAAAATGAGTGATCTTCAGCACACCCATGTTGCCCTGTCTTTCTCCATCAAGACAAGCAAAAGAGCACGCTATGACAATTTTGATGCATTTTTCTCTACTATCAAGCAATTTGGGGAGAAAGCATTTCAGTGTTTTTACACCAGGCACGCTTTCTCTGGCAAAGTGTGGGAAAGATGTAGAGAAAAGGAGAAACTGGGGAGCCTGCCCCAGGATGAGATTGAAGGTATCCTGTCTCAAGACACGTACAGCATTTACAACTCCATCCAGGCTGTGGCACAGACCTTGCATGCTGCACACTCGTCCGGGAGGAATCCGATGCAGATGGTGGGCAGAGACAGACTGGGACCTGAAAGGGTCCAGTCATGGCAGGTATTCCTTGGCTTTTAGAGATAAATCCAGTGAAACTGACAATCAGTTCCTTGACTGAAGGGAGTGGGGAGGTCAGCAAGATTATTGCTGTCCATCAGCTGCCCAAATGACTCACTCAGGTCTGTTGTAAGGGAAAACAACTGCAAAACTCATAGCCACCCTGAGTCTGGAAGAATGAGTTGCGATTAGACCTTGGAATGCCAGGGCTGACAACTAAAGTAGGATTGTCTGGTTTTGAAGATGCATCTTTTCTGTTTACTGAGTGGGGAATGTGGTCCTGAAGAAGCTTCACAGTGAAACCCCTATCATCTCCCTGCAGTGGTGATAAAGGCTGGAGCTCATGGGATTTCCATTTAACAAGAACTTTCCCACTCTTTTCTTTTTCTTTTTTGAGTAAGTTTTATTCTTAATAAACCTAACAAGAAAAAGAAACTAAAAAAACCATCAATCATCGAAAACATCAGACCTACTGGGTCAGCCCCCCACATTTTTTCTTTTTATGTTAAACTATAAACATATTTAAATCTATTCATAGTCCTGTTTCTCTAGTCAATGATAAAAAGAGTTCCAATTTTGATAGAAGACTGTATCTTCTTTCTCCTTCAGAGACAAAGTCAATCTGTCCATTTCTGCATAGTCCAAGATCTTTTTCAGAATCAGTTCGTCGGTAGGTGGCTCTTCACTCTTGGCCAAATGCAATCCTCGCCACAGTAGTTACATGTAGAGTCAAATATATTGCTTAACTTTCCCACTCTTTTCAACTTTACCTTGTCTTAGCTTCACTCTTTCCTGAGAAACTTCCAACTTTACAACGCTTCCAAGGATGGAACTTATTTGGATGAAAATGGGGATTTGGCAGCTGATTTTGATATCCTGAACTGGGTGGTGTTTCCCAACAAGTCCACGGCTGGCCTGAATGTGGGCAGCATAGAGAGACAGGCCTCCTCCCAGATGCAGTTTGCCATTGATCCAAGCAGCATTAGGTGGCCCCAATCATTCAACCAGGTAGGAGAAAGCACCTATTTCCCTCGCTTCCTTTAATAGCCAACAATTCTAGCGACAGTGACTGAGGAATGCATTGCTTTGTTCTCTATTTCATTATGAAACAAAAAGGTGTCATGCATAGGCCGGCCACCTCCTCCCATCTGAAGGCCCAGGTCTATGGCAAGAGAAGTTCCAGGGAGCCACGTTGCAATGGTGGGGGGCTGAAATACTAAATATAGCTGCATATTGATTTTGGTTTGCCTTTCTTCTGCATGTGTTTCTCTGGATAGCCTCAGTTTCACATGTGTGAAATGGAAATTTCACTGTACTTTGTGAAAATAAATATGTGGTTAGGAATTTGGGGCTCGGAGCCTGTCTCTACCTCTTGCTTAGTTCCTTGGTGAAGTCATTTGCCTGGGTGCCTGACTGTTTAAATTTCTGCGACATTGGTGTTAGGAAAGAAATCACTTGCTTCAGAAGAGTGATTTGGTGTTTTGGAGACTGGATGGGGGTTTTTCAATGAGTTTTCTTTCTTTTAGCCACACCAGCTTGCCCTATGGGGAGTGGGTATTTTTTGTGAATCAACAAGCCCTCCCACCACTTGGCTGCTTGGTGATCCTACCTGTGACATGCTTGCACAATTCCAACTGGCCTCACTGTCCAAACTCTCTGAGGACTCTTGGAATGGATAGCTTAGGAAGCATGCTCCTCGGGACTACTGAGGACACTCAAAGGCACCATCTTGCTGAAAGCTAATCAGTTCTGAACTCTCATGAGGACTATGTTTTCCTCTGGAATATGAGTCTGCTTTATGTTTTTTTTTAATAAAGATTTTTATTAAAAAAAATTAAACTAAAAACATCAATCATCAAATACATTGGACGTACTGGGTCAGCCCCCTATAACGTATCTTTTTAACATTCTATAATCAAGTTCAGATCAATTTATAAAAATTTAAAAACATCTTTAAATCTAAGCCAAGTCTCGTTTCTCCAACCAATCATAAAAAAGGTCCCAAGTTTGATAGAAGTCAGTATCTTCTTTCTCCTTCAGTAATAGAGTCAGTCTGTCCATTTCTGCAGAGTCCAGAATCTTTTTTAAAATCAGTTCCTCAGTGGGTAATTCCTCACTCTTCCAGTATTGAGCAAGCGCAATCCTCGCTGCTGTGATTAAATATAGCATCAAATACATTTCTTGTTTGCTAATATTTTCTGGTATAATGCCTCACAAGAAAATTTCAGGTTTAAAAGCTAAGGGTTTTTGTAGCATTTCCTCAAACCATTTATGTATTTTAATCCAATACTTTTTCACACATTCACAGGTCCCCCACATATGGTAAAAAGTACTCACATCATGTTTACATTTCCAACATCTATTTGACATATTTGGAAACATCTTAGCTAATCGACTTGGTGACAAATACCATCTATAGAACATTTTATATACATTTTCTTTATATGAAGTTGCTAAAGTTACCTTAATGTTTCTCTCCCATAGCTTTTGCCACTTTTCTAATTCAATATTATATCCAAAATTTTGTGCCCATGTTATCATAGTTTCCTTAACCCGTCCCCCTTCCATCTTCTTGTCAAGTAAGAACTCATAGATTCTTTTAATCATTTTCGCCTCTGTTTTTAGCATCACTTGATCAAAGGCTGTTAAGTCTTTATAAAACCCCCATATTTTACAATCTTTAGCATATCTTGATTGCATCTGCACTTTATACCACCAAGAGTTATTGAGTCCCTGTTCTTGTATTTCAAGAGTCTGCTTTATGTGAGGTCAGATTGTGTGTCCATCTAGCTGATGATGGCCTACTTTGTCTGGGACAAATGCTCTGTCTCCCCTTCCCATGTAAGAAGATTGGATTATGCCCCTATATCAGTTCTCTGAAGCACACCACTTTCATAGACCTCTAGTGGGAAGGGATTGGGCAGAATTTCCTCTTCCTTCTTTGCTAGCTTGTATCTGAAGAAGGTCCAGGAGCTTCAGGCTTGTTGTTTCCTGCTGCTGCCTCTCATTCATTTCAGATGCAGACCAATGCTCTAAGTGTCCAGAGGACCAGCATGCAAACCAGGACCGAGATCAATGCTTTCCAAAGAGGATCACCTTCCTCTCCTATGGAGGGCAATGGCGTAGGGATAGGGGTTTAGTTTGCGATGCTGCTTTGCTCTCTCACATGTTCAGTCCTCAGAAAGGGGCCAGAAGAACCAGGGTGTCAAAACTGTGGTGGGACTACTGGTGCTTCGTTAGCCCCATCTCAAGGGTATCATTCAGTTCCATGTGGAAATAAAGCCTCTCTCCAAGATTAGGTTGCCTAACACACTTTCCCTTTCTGTTCAGACAGTGCCCTTTTCTAGGTGCACAAGAAGCTGCCAGCCTGGGTATGCCAAAGCAGTTGTGGAAGGCAGGCCAGTCTGCTGCTACACATGTATCCTATGTCCTGAAGGGGCCATCTCCATACAGGAAGGTAGGGGGCTTCTGGGCAAACACAGGCACAGGCCCACACCCACATGGTCTAGACTGGAGATGCTTAAAAAGGGATTCTTGAACTGGATTTCTTTCTGAGTATTAGTGAGTGTGCTCTTTGTGTTTTACTGAGGGCTGCAACCTAATCTGGGTAAGGGCCCATGAGCAGCACTCCATCTGTGGACATGGCAGAATGGACAGGGCCAAAAGCAGAGGCTCTCCCAGTCTGCAAGAGAACTGGGGCATCACCTGGGAATGAGGATGATGGGAGGTCATCCTCTGCATGATCAATCTGTTCAGAGATATATAATAGAAACAAAAAGGGAAAGGGGGAAACCAGGAACGTAAGTGGCAAAGAAGGAAGGGACATGCCCAATGGGCTATATTGCCATATATACTTGCAATAAAAATAATAATGCAATAGATAATGTAGCTGTGTTCTGCTTAGGTGTGAATAGACCATATAACAGCCAAGTAGGAGTAGATACATGGCTTTCTTCTGAATACCATTGGAGTTTGTTGCTCGAGATACTATTTGGTACTGTGAGTGAATGTTTCACATCCTGACTAGCCTAAAAATCAGTAGTAACATCCTCTCCTCTCCTCTCCTCTCCTCTCCTCTCCTCTCCTGTCTCCTGTCTCCTGTCTCCTGTCCTTTCCAGCTGACTGATGGAATGAAGTTTCTGTAACTGCATTCCAGAGCAAACAAATGCTCTTATTTACTCTCAGCCTCCCACAGGAAAATAATTTCTCCCTGTTGGAAGTAAAACTGGCAGCTGCAGAAAAAGCTGACAGGTTCAATGCAAAGTGCTGGGTCAAGAGGTGCTTCCTTCCTCTTTCAGGAAACAACAGGGTATGACTGTTCCAGAGCAGTTTACATTAAAGCGGCTGCTGCCTCTCTCATTCATTTCAGATGCAGACCGATGCTCCAAGTGTCCAGAGGACCAGCATCCGAACCAGGACCGAGATCAATGTGTTCCAAAAAGGATCACCTTCCTCTCCTATGAAGAACCTTTGGGTATCTCCCTGTCTCTCACTGCCTTTTCCTTGTTCCTCAGCACCATTCTTCTACTGGGCATATTTGTTAAATATCAAGACACACCAATAGTCAAGGCCAACAACCGTGACCTCACATACACACTCCTTGTCTCCCTCCTGCTTTCCTTCTTGTCCTCCTTTCTATTCATTGGGCAGCCCCAGAAGGCAACCTGCCTCTTCCGACAACCTGCCTTCAGCATCATCTTCTCTGTTGCGGTCTCTTCTTTGTTGGCCAAAACGGTCATGGTGGTGGTGGCATTTATGGCCACGAAGCCAGGAAACAGGATGAGGAGATGGCTGGGGAAGGGTCTGGCAAACTCCATTGTGATTTCTTGCTCGAGTGTTCAAGTGGGCATCTGCCTTCTCTGGTTGGGAATGTTTCCCCCCTTCCCAGATTCTGACATGCACTCCCAGCCTGGGCAGATCATTCTGCAGTGCAATGAAGGGTCTGGCATCATGTTTTATACTGCCCTCAGCTACTTGGCCTTTCTGGCTGCAATCTGTTTCACAGTGGCCTTCCTAGCCAGGAAGCTGCCTGGGGCATTCAATGAGGCCAAGCTCATCACCTTCAGCATGCTGGTCTTTTGCAGCGTGTGGGTGTCCTTTTTGCCGGCCTACCTGAGCACCAAAGGAAAATACATGGTGGCTGTGCAGATCTTCTCCATCTTGGCCTCCAGTTTGGGGTTATTGGGTTGCATCTTCATCCCCAAATGTTACATCATTATCCTGAAGCCAGAACATAACAACAAAGACCATCTCATACTGAAACCATAGCATGGCATCTGGTCATGGCACATTTTGTGAACAGTTCAGTGGTTGCATCTGCCAGTGGTATTGAGTGCCTTTGCATGGTATTTTTAAAAAGGTATTTTAATAACTAACTTTAATAATACTGTACCATACCATAACATAATACATGTATATAAAAGGAATTTAAGAAAGGGAAAATTACAATACAAAAACCTGAGTTCTATAAATCAAGCAAAGCATTTATTGCTTGATTTATTTGATGCTGAACACAAAAAGTTCATCCATACCTAGTGCTTCAGTTCCATGATAATTATATATATACCCTGTTCTGCTTTTCTTCTTTTCTATGCTTCCCTCTCTAATGAGACCACTTCCTTATCCAAAATTACATTGAGTTATACAAAGGTTTAATACCCTTCCCTTTTATTGAAACGTATTCAATGAACAACTCTCAAGTGACACTAACTATTCTTATTTGTCAGCCCTTTTGTCACCTTAACACAACATGTTAGCTGGTGTCAGAGTTGCCAGAGATGACAGGGCCTGGGTGGGAATCTGCATGGGAGAAACAAGGCATGTGACTCTATTTGTGGGAATGTGCTGGTGTATGCACAGCTCCGTAGGATTGGTGGCCAGAGCAGGGGCAGCTGCACTTGGGAAGGGAGAATAAAGGCAGGGCCAAGACAAACAGGGGTGGAGGTAGACAGAGGAGGATCCTTCATCAGAGTTTCACCCCCTGCCCCAAATGTGTGCTCTTTGAAAACATCTCTTTTGCCACCAGATACCTAACAAAAGAGACTTCTTTTGATCAATGATTGTGTGATGAAACTGAAACTGTTAAAGGGCATGAAATCTATGTTCTTCACTCCTTCACAACTGGAATCCTAAGTGCATCCTGCTACTATTGGTGAAATGTGGGCACTAATGACAGAATTTCCTTCATAGATCTGAACATGGATCACCAAGTTGCACGTGAAGCTGCCTTTCACCTCCAAGCAGCATAAACTTCATTTGTCCAATAGCTTGAATATCTCACAAGACATCTGCTTTGCTACAAAAATGCCCAGATTAGGGTTGGGCCAGAACTCTGTGGAATCCATCCCTCTGGAATTTGCAGACTTTCTCACATGCTTGGCCCAGACTTGGAAAGAAAACCAAGCAAGGAGCAAGTCCAAGAACACTTGTGGAATGGAGATTGCACAACCAGAAACCTTCAGCATCACATGTAGCAGAACTGCATTCCTAACGAGACTCACTTGAACAATTTTCTTGCACATCAGATGGAGCAGCAAAAACAGAGGCTGCTGTGTGTAGTCTGGAAGAGGGGCACTGCTTGCACAGTGCCTGGGGCAAATTTCCTGGCAAATGCCCAGTGACTACTGGGCACAAATCCCAGAAAATTGGATTCATGGTTTCCTGATCAGCTCTATTGCCCTTCTATTGTAGAGGCAGAAAGAGCCTCCCATGAATTTGGAACTATGCTTCTTGTGCTGTAACCTCAATTGGCCTTTGCAGTTTCTGCAACTGAGCAATTCTTCAAAAATTTGGTTGTGATATACTGTGAAAGACATATTACATTGAATAATTGAATACGTGGACTTGACTGATGGACTGTCAAGACCTGAGGCAGCTTTGGGGCTCCCGCTGCTGACTAACACAGCAGCCCTGGTAGTTGCAGGACTGCTACCCCAATCTACCACAGCTTCCAGACCCTCATGAGCTCCACCTGGGAGTCCTGGAGGAGAGCTTAGAAACATAGAAACATAGAAACAGAGCCAGTCAGAAGGAGCCGCCCGGGCCAACTAGTCTGACCTCCAGCACCAGCTGGCTTCGCTCACGACATGCCCACCATGTGCATGTCCAGCCTATCTCTGAACACCCTCACCGATGGGGCCTCAACCACCTCTTGTGGAAGCCCATTCCACACCCTCGGGGTCCTAACTGTCAGAAAGTGCTTCCTGGCATCTACATGGAACCTTGGCTCCCTGAGCTTTGCTCCGTTGGAGCAAATAAAGAGTTATGTAAGAGTTGACTCTTCCCCTCAGAAGCTGCCTTGGCAATAAAGGTTTTATTAGTTGCTGAAGTGCTCCTGGTTTGTGGAGTCTTGGACTCTGTTCCTGGAACTCTGCCTGTGCTATTACACCAGCCTTGCTCCAGCCCTCAAGGTATCTATTTCCCTCAGCTTGTCTTCTCAGCTTCCTGACTCCTGGCTTGTCTGACCATATTTGCTTCTTGAATTGACTTGGCCTTGTGCTTCAACTCCCAGCCCTGACCTTTGGTCTGCTTGACTGTGCTTCTGGACTGACCCTTCTGCCTCATCCCAGTTGCCTGGGTCCTGGTGTTCCTGTCCACTAGTCAGGTGCCCACAGCCTGGACACTGACAGTTTACCTTGCACCCCATCGTGGAAGTTTTTATTTATTTTATTTATGTTTCGGTTTATATCCTGCCTTTTTCCTACAAAGGGCTCAAGGCAGCTTACATCTCCTCCTCCATCTTATCCCCACAACAACCACCCTGTGAGGTAGGTTGGGCCGAGAGTCTGTGACTGGCCCAAAGTCACCCAGTTGGCTCCATGGCCGAGCGGGGACTCAAACCCGGATCCTCTGAGTCCCAGTCCCATGCTCTTAACCACTACGCCACACTGGAAGTAATGAGCACCGACATGAACAGCATGATTCAGGCCCTGCCGGCACAGGTGCATATCCTGCAGCAAGAACTGGTGGCAGTGTGACATACCATGGCCCCTCCAGTGGTGCGCTGTGCCCCGGCACCTACCTTGCCAGCCTGCTTCTCCAGGGTACACAAGGAGCCACACAGCTTCCTCATCCAGTGTCACCTCCTGTTCCAAATGTGCCCCAAAGTGAACCCAACAGAGCACAGCTGGGTAGCCCTAATGATAAGCCTGCTGCCAGGTTCTGCTGTGGCCTGGGACTTGCCACTACTGACCACTCCTCACTGGGGAACATAAGCGCCTTTCTGAAAGCCCTCACAGAAATGTTTGGGGACGTCAACTGTGAGCACGCCTCAGAGCAGGCTCTTTAGTCGCTGAAGCGGGGCAGAGGTTGGTAGCAAACTATGCTGCAGAATTTCACTGCTTCATGGCTGACACTGACTGGAATGAGGCGGCACAGTGTTTGCACTTCCTTTCTGGGCTGAGCCCTGCAGTAAAGAACAAATTGGCCATTGTCCCACCTGAATTGCTGAACAAGCTTATCATCCTCTGCTTCAACATTGGCAACTAGTTAACTAAGCGAGAGTGTGGGCACTGAAGTCCCCAGTTCAACCTGACTGTCACTGCCTGAGACAACTCCTCCCAGAGCCACTGCAGAATCCATGCAAATGGACAGCTCACAGCAGCAGAGAAGCAATGCTGCTGAGATCAGGAGCTCTGTCTGTATTGCAGGAACAGGGGTCACTGTGCCAAATGATCCCATGGTGTTCTTAGGGGGGAACTCACTGGGGCCAGTCTCCATTCACCCCCACTTCATGTTCCCAGTCCAGCTGGTCCTGCCTCAGGGAGGGCTCCTTACAGGGAGATGGTATGCTTGACTCAGGGGCTTCTTTGAATTTCATGGACTTAGAATTTGCCAAAAAAATCCACATTCTGATGCAGCATAAAGAAAAACTGGTCCGAGTTGAAGGTCTTGGTGGCTTGCTGCAGGTTTGGACCCTGTTTCAGATGGAACCAATAGGCATGCTGATCACCCTGGGACACCAAGAATGGATATCCTTTGACCTGATCCAGACCCCCCCCCTTTCCCGGTGGTTCTTGGGATTCCCTGGTTAACCCTGGTTAACCCCACCATCTCTGGGCCACAGAGGACCATCCACTTCCAGTCACCCCACTGCCAGGAACCTTGCCTCATGGTGCCATTCACCAGAGCAATGAGGGCCCAGATAGTGTCCACCATGGGCCACCCAGCCATGCCTCAAGCTCCCCCAGGGAGCTTCAGAGTAGCCCTAACCAACCCTGCTTCCAGCCCCCTAACATGGTCTGTCTGACATCTTTAAAAAAGGAAGGCCAAAATGCTATCTCCCCATTGCCCCTACAACTGCCCAATAGACCTTCAGCCAGGAACAGAAGTCCTGTTTGGATGCATATATGTCCTTTCAGCACTCCAGCTCCAGGTTCTCAGGGAATATCTAAATAATAACCTGCCCCACAGATTCATCCAGCCCTCCATGTCCCCTGCTGGGCCCCCCCATCTTCATTCAGAAAAAAGATGGCAGCCTATGCCCTTGCATTGATTACTGGTATTTGAACCAGTAACCCCTGCCCCTCAACCCTGAAATGTTCAAATGGATACAGAGGACCTGGATCTTCACTAAGAGACCTGCAGGGGGCTTATAACCTAGTCCATATCCAGGAAGACAATGAGTGGAGAATGGCATTCTGGACCCAATATGGCAGGGGTCCTCAAACTTTATCAACAGGGTGCCAGTTGACAGGTGCCAGTGGTGGGCACGGGCTGCCAAGAAGGTGCTGGCGGGGGTGTGTGGGCAGGTGAGGGGGTGGGGTGTGCATGCACACATGCTCATGCGACACGGGGATCGGGGGCACACTGGACGAGGCACCGGCTTGCTTGCAAGGAGATTGTTTTCTCCCAATGAGTCCAAAACAACCTCCTCACAAGCAAGTTGCCACCAGGCACGTGCACAGCTAGTGCAAAACCTTTGAGGCAGCCCAGTTAAATGGGCATGGCAGGCCGGATCTGGTCCACGAGCCTTAGTTTGAGGACCCATGCGGTATGGCCCCTTTGAGTATTTAGTAATTCCATTTGGCCTGACCAACACCTCTGCCACCTTCCAGCACTTTATGTATTGCTATTGCTTTATTGTTGTTCGGGGTGTGTATGTTTTTATATTTATCACTGTATTTATAGATTTTACTATGAGCCATCCAGAGACTAAAGTAATTGGATGGGCTAGAAATATCCCAAATAAATAAATAAATAAATAAATAAATAAATAAATGACATGCTGTGCAACCTGTTGACCTGTTTTTGTCATTGCATATGTAGAT